ATTTCATATAAGATGAAACGTATAGGACTGAAATAAATAAACTTTGTGATTTATTTTCCTAAACCAACTTTACAATTTCTGTGTCAGTGTCTCTCATCAAGCTGAACATTTTCTTTTCATTTTATGAAACCTATTAGCTCAAGAATCTCTCTTACTTTCTGCAGCTTGTTTCTCTTTCCGTGTTTTCTGCATGCAGTAATCCCGTCGTGCCGTCAGAGGAGAGCGACCAGAGAGACACCGACAGGTCTTCATCCTCCCCGCCCTCTTCGTCGAGCAATGGGAGATCTTGACACTTCGTCACTCGGCCGTTGAAGGACGCTGCGTTCATGTGACCTCTGCTACAAACAGCGACAGTACCACACCGCATACACGCGAAACTACGGCGACACCGTGTTTACATTTGAGGAAATTCATTGGAGATATTCTGTAATTAATTGGCGATGTGTTGCCCATACAGATCAGTCTGAGGGAAACCTAAAATTCAGACTGATTGATTTCAGACTTTAAGAAAGTTAAGATCCCGAACTGATTGTTAGAAAAACAAGCTGCTGTTAATTATCGTGATGCAGGGAGGTAACAAAAACTATAAACTAACTTATTTAAATCTTCAAATAATCACACACTTCAACAGTGACGATATATGAGCAATATTTAGAAGTCTTATCCTCAAGTTTCTATAAAGTCTGTAATGTTAACTCCTCATGTAGTTACAGTCTTTTTGCCCATAAATGTTCAGCTGGGGATAAGGGAAAGATAACGAGTTGTTTTTCACCGTCAGGTAGTTTCTAATCAATGTTTGTGTTTGAAATCTAATTAGATCCCCTGATGCACAATTTATGTGCCTTCCAGACATCCTGATGAATTGAATCTCACAAGGTAATTTTGTCAAATCAAAGAAATAGATAAACGTATAAAAGTACCAAAACAGAGTTTGAGTTTGTGCTGAACATCATACAAAAGTACATGTAGTACATATTCAGTACATATCTCGTCCATCTGGACAGTTTAGTGTGCAGTCACTCTGAAAAAAGTCATAGATATATTTGGACGTATTTGTCCACTCATTATTTATAGGCTGTGAATCATGTCATCTTCCGACCCACCGCCCCGGCTAAAAGTGGCTCCTTTCAGCAAGACAGCTGCAAAGAATTAACTGGCAACGTCGCTCTTAGTTGCATGTTAATAACGTTGGAGTCGGCATCACACTCTGCTTTCAGAGCAAGCGTTACTACCGAGTGGTACAGCAGCAGGGCAGCGACATGATCACTGAACACGTCCCACGTTGTTTTAAAAGAATCATGGATATGCACTAAACACTGGATGATGAAATTCTCAAGAGGATTTCCTTTAAGAGCCAGTTTATGGACTACAGAGTATGTCAAATAAGCAGAAACAAAGGATTGCTTTGTTCCATGTAAACACTATGTATCAGAAATGCTTTTTTAAAAGTGTTATAAGCAAATAAAAGCTTTCAGTTTAGAAAAACTGAAAGAAATTCTGACCAGAAAGTCACGCTGACGCTTTTCTAATGTTTCAAAATCCTGCTTTCAACCTGGCCCTGCTTTAAAAGTAGCAGTTAGCTTTACTCTTCAGTCAGAACTAATCTTTGCTTCTCTGAGGTCAGAGGTCATTCAGAGTTTTCCCAATGTTGGCTTAAAAACGGTTGCTAAGATAACCCTCTCTAAGCAATCTAACTGGTTCCTTTGAGGTTTGGATTGGTTAAGGTGGCAGGAATCTACTTTGAAACCATCTGTTAGCTTGACTGTTTGGTGTGAAACTATCTTTACTTCTTCAAACTGAGATAATTGAAACGTATTAATTATAAACCAGATATTTATTGCTCAAAGTCCTGTCCCAAACAAGTCCAGCAGTCCCTTTACATTCAGAGTTGTTTTAATGCGGCAGAAATCTGCTTTGTGCCTGGCTGTGAGCTCTGCGATCAGGGCTAATCTTTGTTTCTCCAAACTCGAGTAATGTAGATTTATTCATTGCAAATAAGAGATTAACAAGAAAAAAAAAAAACATGAATGCAATAAGTATTACATCATGAATTTCTCTTAAGGATGCAAACTTAAAAAGTTTGGTGAGCAGGAGAGTAAACAAACATGAAACAGCTCCTCCTTGGACTTGGTTCTGCTCTGATTAGCTGTTAGCTTGACTCACCTGCAGGCTACTGACTACTCACAGTGTCTCCTCAGAGCCCCACTCTAAATAATCCACCTCCATTTTTAAACTTGGAGTCTTTTTAAGGCAACAAAACTCAAATTTGATCCTTAATGCGATGATTCACTGCTAGCTTTCCACAACGGTGGACAAATATCCACCATCTTTTTGTATTATTTACAGAATTTGACGGCCCAGAAAGCTGCATGTAAGATACTGACGGCTAATTGCATCACCACAGAATTTCGCTTTAAACAATTGAAACTGTCAGCTTAAGGTTGAAGTTGTTCTGATCTTTTTCTAACTACTCGTTAGCTGAACTCATTGGTGAAAACTAATCACTGTTTAATGTAACACAAGTAGCTCAATTAACCACTACAGGTAAGATATTAAACACTCAAAAGCGCTCTACAAAACCTGACTTAAAGTCAAACAGTTTGCTTGACTCGCCATGGAAAACTGACCTCTATTTCTCCAGACTTAGGTTGTTTAGAAAACCGCAGCTAATCCACTGACAGCAAATAATATCTATTCAGAGCCCCATCTACGTAATCATAGCAGGGCTTTAAGTTAATCTCTGGAAGGAAAACTCCAACATAATAAGCAGCTTCAGCAGCAAAGCAAGTGGAAATCAACAGCAAGCATCCCCAGTCAAGCCTTTATCCAACTTTTATGGGGGTGAACAGAAGTACTAAACACAAATATCGAGCCACTTTAATCGCTGAGAGAGAAAAAATGAAAAACTTTCAGTTTAGCCATGAAGTCTGCATACGTTACAGCAACATTACTCCTGACGCTTGCCTGGAGTTGGAGCTCAAAACTGTACGCTAAGGATCCCAGACACTTTGAGCTGTTTGATAATGAGTGTTATTGCAGCCTCTTATAGCTTAGAGTGAGCAGGTTGCTTAAGCAAAGCTGCATGGTGGAGCAGAACGTCGTAAAGACAGCAGAGGAACCAAAATGGTCATAAATTCATGTACATTACTCACCGAGTGCCAAAATAAAAGTTTATTTAAGATTATGACTCATTAGGAAATAGCTGAGAAAAACATAACTGGTTATATCTGTGGAAGCTATGTCACAAAGGTGCTTGATGTACATAAACCTATTTTTGAGCCTAGAAGCGTTTGCACATAGAAAGGAGCAAAACTATAAGAATCTTATGAAGCAATCAGCGCTGCTTCTTGTAAAACAGACGACACTGGAAATAGACTTGTTTCCACTTCCTTTACATATTTCAGGTGAACTTATAACACATACCTCATGTTTCATTTATGTTTTTTTTTTGGCACATTTGAACACCAAATGATACAGGAAAGCATCGCTGGCTATCATCACTGTCAGGGGAAGAAAAACCCCACATCACTGCTGTACAGTACTATCATAAACTCCTTCTGGTTTCTTTCATTAAACCAGGTGAAATGTCGGGATTCTCACTCCGGTACTTTGTTTCGATGACGAGAGACGGCAGCTTTCAGCGTTTGCATGTGGGGCTGTTTGGGTCAGCTGCTTCGAGTGTTTTTTTTTTTTTTTATGCCGTTTGAATCCAGGAGAAAGATGTGAAATGATGTGCCGTGTGAGGCCCAGAAAGCCATTTCCTTTTACTTTCAGAAACCGAGTGAGTCTCTACTGTATGCATGTGCCGTGTGTCTGTTTTTGAGTCTTTTCAGTGGGTGTTTTTAAAACGACTTTTACTGGCGCAGATGCACAGTGTTGTAGAAAATGAAACAGAATTACCAACGGGTGACATTTTAGATTAGACTGTCTTTTGTCTGTTGTCACCTGTGAAATTCAGAATCAAATGAGAGTTATTTTCCATTACTAAACTTCCTTTATGAGTCTACCTGTTGGCCAAGTAAAGTCAATTTAAAAACAACTCAAGTTCAGGAAAATGAACCAGTGAAAAACCAATGCTTTTGCAAAATGACTACAATGGCTTTGAAACAATAATAATGAAAAGATAGCTTTGAATATATAGATGAGCTCGAAGAAGCGCGTCACACGCCTGAAATGAACGTCAACTTGAAATTTGAATGAAAATCTGTTTCGATTAAATTTTACAGGAAAAAAAAAACTTACCTCAAGAGTCTAATACAAATTTGTGTCGCATAACATTTGGAAACTAATCCTGTGGACTTTTTGGAGAAATTTAAGTGTGTGACTTTGCGTCAAAATGAATTATTATTTTTTTTTGGCTTAGAAGCTTTACTGCAGAGCTAAAGTATGTAATGTATGTAAAGAGAGACTGAATGAATAAAAGATGCAACTGATGATCAACAATTTGTCTTTCCTCTTGCATTTAATTCTGTTTGTACTGAAACTTCTACAGTTCATATAATTATTATCTTGGCAAGTTTAGGTTGAAAGTTATCTTATACTTTCAACATGTTTTTTTCCTCAGTGGTGGGAATATTAAACGTTTCAGAGTCGCCTTGAGTATCTGTGAAAGGATTTCTAGCAGCTCGTCAAAGATAAATCATCATAATACCGGTGGAAACACAGAAAAAGCTGGTCAGAAATTCTAAAAAATAGTCACATTTTCCACTGATTATGACATTTTTTTTCTTTTAAATGTTTTTTTTCTTTGAAAAATGATATTTCCTATAGATTATCTTTTGAAATATGAAATCTTTTCTTAGAGAAAATGAATGAGTTTTAATGCAAGGTGTGTGAACTGTTAATGACTTTACTGTGTGTGCTCAGATTTGAACTGAGTTATCAGTGGGTCTGTCACAAACCTCTGTCATAGAGGTTTGGATCTATGACATTTCCTGACGTTTCTCTTTTTTACATACACAAAAAGGAAGAGATCGGTTCAGTTTCATTCAGAAATTTACATACACCTTCATTACCAGCACGGAGGACATGCTGGGTTTTTCTTTTTTTTTTCTTTCAAATGGCTGGTTTGAATCATTTTACTTTCTGGGTGCAAAGTTTTGAGTTTCCAGTATCAAAGTTGTGCAGAAATGCACAGATTCCTCCATTGTTTGGTTAAATGTCTCTTCGTCAGATGTATCTCAACCACATGCTTCTAGTTGCCACGGTTTTAGCTCTGTGTTTAAACTGGTAGAGTTTATTTAAACTGGTTTTGTGGAGAGTCAGATTATTCCCCAAACAGCTTAGATGTGTGTTTGGAAATCCAGCTGGCAGAAAACAACCCCGCAGTACAATGCTGCCACCAACGTGCTTTAAAGTATGAGATGTTCTTGTGGAGAAACAGACGTTGTTTTATGTACGTTATAATGCCCCGCAGCATGATGCAACCACCACCATGCTTTGCAGTTTGTACAGCGATATTTTTGCCTCGCCTCTCAATCTTTTGAAATCTTTCTTTAGAGGGCATGTTGCAGGTTTATTTCGAGCCTGACGACGGGTGTGGAGCCGGGACTTAATTTCCTGGTAAGCGCACTGTTATGGCTTTGGTGTGGGCACGGACGCAGGTTTTCCAGCAGCCTCCAGCTCATGCTAGGTTTGAGTCACTGTGGGGTTTTGGGCTGTTTTTGAGCAGTTTAATCATTTTCCTGACATCTGATGTCACCTGTTTCAGATTAAATTATAACATTCCAGATGAGTTCATGTGCTTCTCACTGGAACTGAACATGAAGAGTCTGAAAATAATAAGCGTATTGTTAGACCTGTAATGACATCAGGGTGCGAGCAGACCAGGTTTATTCAAGGTGACATATTTTTTTTATTTTTTTGCACGACTGAAGGAGCTTTTATCTCCACCAAGAGGAAAATCTCTGACTGTACTTTCAGTAAGAGAGATAGATGATTCGAAAAAAAGATGTACTGCTGTCACTATAATAACTAATTTGTTCAACGTCACATCTTGGTGAATTCAGGGAACTATCTGAACACGTCTGCCTCTCTTCACGCCCATCATCATCACGTTTTCTCATTGAAATTCTGGGAGTTGGACATTTTGGTTGCTTTTTTTTTTGTTTGTTTAAATAAAGAACTCGACAAAAAGAAAATGTCTTCTTAGAAAACAACAACCAAATCAGACGTGAAACCCATCTGGGTATCGTGAAGAAGATCTGCTCTTCTTCATGTTGTTGTGCAGACAAGCTTTTAGTCGGTTTAAACGGAAAGTGATGACACTTCATGCATAAAAACTTAGATAGTTGCTTGGTATGAGAGTGCTGAAAGTATAAACACCGCAGCAGCAGTGAGGGGAGGAGGAGACAGGAAGGCAGGAAGACTAAACCAGGTAAGGAAATAATGAGACAGATTATGGTTAGAGTGTGTGAGAAGACGGAGAGTAAGAGACGCCGAGGCAGACTCACCAACAGGAAGTTCGACAAAACAATAGAAGCAGAATACAGGGAGGACTTCGCCGAAGGTAAGGTCTAATCATTTTTATTGTTTATTATCAGGAAATATAAGAAATATAAATGTCATTGTGCGTTTTTAAAAGTAACATGAATGAGCAACACATACAGAGCAAAACATTATTTTATTTTTTTTCGGTACATTAGAGTCACCTGCATATCGTCTAATTTCTTGCCTACAGAATGGGGACTGTGCAATACTTCATGGCTGTGCTGTTATCTGCACAGTTGGTGCTCAACTCTCCCACGGTAAAAAAAACCCAACATTTCCTCATCCTGTTCACCTTTACTCATGACTGAAAGAACCATGTTTCGTACCTAAAAAATAGGTCAAATGTACTGAAACGAGCTGCATGAAGATATTCTTCTCATTTGTATTTAATTATCAGAGGCTGAAGAGGAATGCGGATGGCAGGAAGTGTATTGAATGCCCTGCAGGTAAAATGGCATTTTTATGTGTAGTGATTTAAAAAAAAAAAAAAAAAAAAATGTCATCTTTACAAATTTTTAAACTCACTTTGTGATCATGCATTAATAATGTTTGTGAAATATCCGTCATTCTGTTTGTACTCTCTTGATTTTCTACTCTCTTCATGAAAAAAAAAAGGCGCATACTGCGCCCTGCCATCCCCACTCTATGACCACATCCTTGATTTATATGCACTACGGGTCTGCAGACACCCATGGCTCTCGCCTCCATCCTGTTGTTCTTACTTGTTTCTTCCTCTTCTGTCAGGTGAATTTCTGGACACTTGTACCAAGTGCAAACCTTGTCCTTATGGATCTTACACCGAAAGGCCCAACCAGGAGAATTCATGCCATCCATGCTTCAGAGACTGCCTACCAAGTAAACAAATCTGCATCTGTGAGGTCATCAGCTGAGACTCGGCTCTCATGTCTGGTTTTTGGCTCCTTTAGGCTATCATCTGAAAGAAGCTCAGAACTGCACAAGCACGACCCCCTTGAAATGCGAGTGTGAGCCTGGTTTCAAATGCACAGGGAGGGAACCCAAAGGGAACTGCAACCAGTGTGAAAAAGACAACCCCCCACCAGGTAAAACCTGACAAAACCCTGTTTTAATTTAGATTAGACCATTAGAAGGTACGTATTTTAATTAAAATTAAATCAAATACATAAAAGCACAACACAGAGTCGTGTGCTGAAATGAAACACGACGTCCTTACTCGGCCGGGTTCTGATAGTTATCAGGAGTTTCTGCACAACCTCGGTTTAGAGAAATGGAAAGAAATCCCGACCAGACAGTCAAGCTAGTCTGATCTAACCTTTCTACCACATTAAAACCACTTCAGCCTCACAGGAATGATTCAGATAAGGAGGTTTTATTAGCAGTCAGTATCCTACCTGTAGCAACCAGCTCTGTGAAGAAAACTGAAGGGAGCTCCTTCTGGAGAGTCAAAGCAGTGACGAATGAGGGAAAACGGCTTCTTCCACCACATATTTTAAATTAATAGTTGGATTAGTTGCAGTGTAGGATCTGAGAAGACACATTGTTTGGGGGAAAATAAAAGAAGCTGTAGGACTGCACTGTGAAATGTTAAAACTTTAAAGTATTCTTATTTTTAAGTCATGAAAACATTTCCTGTTAAGTGAAAAACTTTGTTTCCCAGGATGTGAGATCTTTATAAAGATTCAAACCCACATTCAGGCCTCTAGAGCTGCGCGTTATTTATTTATGGATCTTATCAATATTATATACAGATTAGTTTATTATGGAGACAGACTAAATTACCATCTAGGTTTATATTTATTGATTAGCATAGTTTTCAGCTTCAGTTATGATATTCAGACATTTCTGCCCTGCTTCTCTGTCATGTTTTAATTAAATGTATCATAATCTAGTGCGTTCTTTATTGTTTTTATTTTTTTTAAAGATAATCAAATTTATCTTTAAAAAATAGTTTAAATTTACTCGAGCTAGCTTGATTAGTGAGAACTAATCTCTGTTTCTACAAACTAGATGATACTAAGTGAAGGTAAAAAAAGAAACTCAGCAGCTGGATGAAAAGATTTATCCCCTTTAGATCAATATCAAACAACTATACATGCATAAAACATGGATATAATAAAATAATAATAAAGTCTTCATGGTTTGATGATGTTGTAAGGCTTAAACTAATTTAAATACTTAACATTAAGTCAGATGTTGCGTCATTATAGTATTTTTGAATCGCTTCAAATTTTCTAAGAACAAAAAGCGAACGTGATGAAACTGCCAGATTTGCCTCTTACTTAATTTGACCTTCATGGGGAATTTTTAAGACTGATTTGAACTTTACACAATATTTTTATGCTGAATGGTGAAGACTGGGTTGGTTTCCTCACCTCAGACAATAGGAGCTTGTGTGGGCAGCTGCTGCTGACGCATCCACCTGTCACAAACCTTATTGTTGTGTTCACTGCCCCCAAGTGGCTGAGATATTGTTATTAAAGATTTAAAAAAAACGTGTGTAGGTTTGAGTCTGAGGGACTTATTTTTTACATGTTGTTATTGACAGACACAATGAGAGAAAATAAGAGAATAATATGATTAAATGTGACAAAACAGCAGGGAAAGTGGAGTCTCTCGCTGTGCCTCTTATAAAAGGGACATTTTATTTTATTTCAAGAAAGAGTGAAAACAAAAAGCGATACTTTGAATGCTTTTATTCTGGTGAAAGCTGAAACAAAGGTGCAATGTTTCTGTTTCTCATCTGCAGCTGTGACTGTGGGCAAACCCAGACAGCCTACCTCACCTCTGGATAAACCATGCAGCTCCTCCAGGTGAGTCATGGTTTTTACTGGATTACTGCTAAAATACTGAGTAATAGAGAATCGGGAATGGTTTTGGAAATCCAGCTGGATGGTGAAATATTCACGTTTTCCTTTTCATCGCTCTCAGGTGCGGTCCTCCTGCTACGGCCCCCACTAATCCCAGACCAGGTGAGTCTGAGGGAAAACTTTAACAGCTGCTCATTATGCCAACAAGTTTTGTAGTTTGGACCAAAAATACAAATAGATATTCAGTTATAAGTCGTTTTGAATATTCTGCTGCAAGTTTAGTCTGATTGGAGAACATTTGTGATTTTTTTTTAATATAAAGATTTACAGCTGATTCTCAGCTGGATTTGGAAAAATTTAGCATTTCAATGCAGCTTTCAATGTATTTTTTATTTTTGTTCTCCTGGAAGTTCAGCTTTTGCCTCAGTCTTGTGGGTTTTGCAGCTTCTGTCAGATTTTTTCTTGTGGTTGCATCTGTCTTCCCATCTACTCTGAGCAGCTTCTCCGTCTTGTTGAAAGAATGCAGGCCCACAGCATAATGCTGCCACCACTCTTTTACACAGTCAGAAAGTTTTTTTTTTTTTTTTTTTTAAGAATAAGCATGAGTGAAAACTGTCCACTGCAGCTTAATTATCTAAAAAATTATAATTGTCAAGAGGAAAACCTTACATTTACACCCAAAGTGACAGTAATGCTTTTCATATATTTTGTTTATTGTTGATCATTTTTGGTTGCAACTCATCCCTTGGATAAAAATAAAACAACAAAAAAACATATTAAATACCAACGTATCTGTCTGAAGGGAACAAAGTTTTGTTCTTGGTTAGGTTACGACACACCAACTTTATCTCTACAGGTGGCGCTAAAGTGCTTGACAAATACCATCAGCTTGTGTTTGCACTGCTCCACCACTCTGGTCTGTGTGTGTTACCCCACATTGGTTATTTCTGAGCTTTCTTTTAGGTTTCATTATGCAGATCAGAGGGCTGTCGTTTAAACTGTGTCATCGGGTCAGCTTTCCTCTTGTTGGCTGATCAGATGAACACAGAGCCGACTGAATATTGCAACAACCTTTTTTATTAGCTGTAGACTGTCCTCATAATCCTGATGCAAGGCTTTGAATCAATGCACAAAACGTTTTTATGTCTCTATTTTTTTAGGAAAAATATTATCTACCTTCTTGTAGTCAGAGATTTTCCAGTCGAAGGCTTTTAATAGATCCGAAGCACGTTTTAAGACCAGAGGGAATAAATCTTTTAGGCTCCCAGAATGAGAAATACTTTGAACCGTCTTGATTCTGTTGGTTCTTTTAATTAGACTCATTCATTCAGACTGGCTCTGTTTCATGCTGTATGATCTTCAATGTATTCTGTTTTTATTGTTTTATGTTTCTATCATTTGTTTTTAATGTTTGTTTCTATTGTTTGTGGTTCTATGAGATGTGAAAAGTGCTTCATGAATAAAACCGACTTTCTTACCTACACAAAATAATAGTCAACGCAAAAAATCCTGATAATGGGAAAGAGGTCAAATAACGTAAAGAAGTCAAATAGCAGGTAATGCAGAAAATTAAAGATAAAATATGAAAATTGCAGCATTTTTAAATCAGATTTAAATGTCTGGCTACTATCCAGGGTTTTATTTTCTGTTTTGTCAGAGAGCGGTGAAGTCAAGAACTAAAAATAAAAAACAGAAAGCTTATTATTCAGTAATATAAATAGTTATACTTATTCTGTGTTCCACTTATTTACATCTATGTCTTTCTGAAGGTTTCATGTTTTATAGCCTTTTGAAATTTTTTTTGTGTTGCTTTTAGTTTTCACCATTTTTAATCCTCTGTCACAGGATACACAAGCGCTGAGCTGGCGGCCATTCTGGGCCCGGTGGTCTTCATAGGATGCATGGCCCTTATGATCATGTTCTGCATCTATCAGCCCCGGGATGAAACATGTTTCCGACAAAGTAAGATGTTCATTTACATTCAGGGCAGTTTCTGTGGCCTCGGCTGAACTTTGTAATTGAATCAACTCAGAAGAATAATAAACACGTTTAAACTGAACGCTGCGAATATGAGTATGACTGAGGTCGTGAGGTTTCTGCTACATGAATGATGAACATGTAGAGTCATCACTGAAGTTTTGAAACTAATTTTATGTTACTCATCATTCTGTTTTTCAGTTATTGCGAAGCTGTGTAATGAGGTATGTAAGCCGAGGTTTCTGCTACCTTTATGTACAGTCATGGTAAAAACCCCGTCCTTCATTTCTTCTGTTTTAAAGCATCATATGGTCGAGATGATCTGATCCTAACAAGGTTCTACAATTATAACCTGAGCTGCACAAGACACCAGAAAAGATCCAACACTGACACGACTTTTAAACGTAAATTAACATGAAACAACTAAAAAATAAGTACATCCCTATGGCTTAGTACCTTGTAGAGCCGTCTGTAGCAGCAGCAGCATGACTCAGCACTGTGTTGAGCTGATGGCCCCACAGTTTACTATCAAATGGTTTTGTGGTCAAATCTTATGACTGCGAGTTGCCCAGCTGCTGTGGCTTTAAGGTGGAGGGGCCATTTCAGCTGAAATGCTGTCTGTTTTCATCCAACATGGCATTTTTAGTCTCCAGATGTTCTGAACTACTGCTAACAATTCTTCCAAACAAGTCACTTGTCCTGTTTTTTTGTCATTATGTCAAAACGTTCACATGAAGTCGAACATTTGACGTGCTAAAAGAGGCTGAGTTTGAGGTTTTTCAGGGTCATTGAACTTTGCACACTAGCGTGGTTTTACAAAAATAAAAAAGGAAGTAAACATTTCACTTGCATTAGAGTATTCTCTCACTGTCTTCAGTCGATGAGGATGTGTCTTTTGTGCCTTTTTCATTTTAAATTATTTGGAAATGGCCGTGTACCCACTCCAAAATTAATGGACAGCAAAAGCTGATTCTCCAGGGTCTTAGTGCTTTTAACTTTTCTTTTGTTTACTTCCTACTCTGGTGTAATCATGTCTTTTTTATACATAATTATGTGTTATATACTTAATGTTAAATAATTTTAGAACCTGGATCAATATCATTTTCTGATGCATAAAACCCCAGAACGGTGAAGGAGGGGAATTTTACTTTTTTTTTTTTAGCAAAACCAAGCAGATTTTTGCATGATATTTCTTGCTGTTCTATACAAATTGATGACACGTTTTTTTTTAGGAAGGGCAAAGTGGCAGTCGCAAGGCGAAGGAGTCGACTCATCAGTTCCCCAGAGACTCTGCGAAGCAGCAGACGTCCCCTCTTTCAGATGCCAGCCTTGGTACTGCTGAGTGATATGAGCCCTTTCAGATGAAGTTCTCGACTCGCATGAAGTCATAAAGAAATTATGAAATGTTTGAGAACCAGCTCAAACAAATGATTACACAGATCTCTTATGTGTTTTCTCTTCTTCTTAGGTCCAGTCCAGGTCCACAATCCAGGAACGGTCATCTTCAGCTTGCTCAGCCACTTCACCGGTCCGGTGGGACCGACGGAGCTGAACGGAAAGAGAGCGGAGAGGGCGAGCCACGAAGAAGAAGATGAGAGAGACTGTCCTGTGTTTCATCCCACGCCTTCTCCGGGTATCCACCTCTCCAAAGAGGAGGGCGGCGGCGAGACGGAGGACGTTTTCTTCCCCTCCCAGGAGCAGGGGAAGGACTTCCACGTGTCGAAGGAGGAGGCGCTGTGACGCGTCAGAATGATCCAAGATTTGTTCTGGAGGACATGCTGGACTCTTTTAAAGAGAGGAAATGTAAACCTGGAAAACACGAATACAGGTGGGAGGAGGAAACGATCCATCTTCTTCTGGCAAACTGTAGAAGGATCACAGTTGTAATTTATTTATTGTTTCCTGCTGGTTAAGGAAACCAACATCACGCCTAACTTTGATGAAAGCGGGAATTGTTATATTTTTGTAATTTATAATTTAAAAACTCTTGTAAATATTATACATACTCTATTGGACGTAATACTGGATTTGACTTGAGACACTCTGAGTGGAGTATTTGTTTTATTTTGCATAAAGAAAAATAAAGAAATACTGAGGTTTTCAAAAAAAAAACAATTTAGTTCTTAATATACATGATTTGATATTAAACAGCAGCTCTAAGTCTATGTATATACATTTATACAGTATATATATTTATATATACTTAGGAACAGGTTTGGACACACCTACTGCACAAATGTCTGAGTGAGAATCTCATCACTGGTCTTATTATGTAGTATAGTGTACCATAGTACATACCTATTTAGCAAAATACCAAACAGCCCATTCAGGACTATCATAGTGTCCCACTCTGTGTGTTTAGGTGGAATAAATTTTCCAGTTTCTGTAGGGTAAGTTTTCTGTGTATTGAGAAATCCTGTAGTTTTTGAACAGCATTAGTAGCTGAACCGTCCGCTGTAGTCCTCTTCATTATAACGACTGGAGCGATGATTGTCTCCGTTCGGCTCCAATATCCAGGAGAAGTTGTTCCTTTCTTGTGGCAGTGAAGGTTTTGACAAGTACCTTTGATTTATCCAGGTGCAGGATTTAATCCTTTATACATAAGTCGATGCAGTGGTCACATTTTCCACACACCTCCTGGACCGGCTTGGACACATCGTCTTCCACTGCGCATAGAGTGGCTGTCACAGTCTTTTCAGGCAAAAAATAACCTGAGAAGCAAAACAGAAAATATTTTAAATTTGATCAACAATATGTGGCAAAAACAAAACAAAACAAAAAACTTTACATTTTTGCATCCAAACAATCAGTGTGTTGGTAACTTTTGATTATTTTGTGAGCAACATTTATGTGCAGCTTTAATTTGCATGGTCAGTTTTAAACAATCAGCCAGTTTTCTAGGGATGCACCAATTTACTGGCCGGCCGGTTTCCTTCATTTTGGGAGATCAGTGAACAGCCGATACTTGCATGTAAAGCTGATCTTATCTACTTCAGCAAAGTTCTAAAAATCGACCACTGTCCTGTTCTGCTCCGCAGCGACAGAGACATACCGGCACATCAGGCCATGTCCACATGTTTGCAATTAGCAATAGTCACCGCACTGTTATCAACTCAGCGACTTTATTTCTATATTTAGTGACATTTCAGACAAAAAAAAAAATAAAAATGGCCGAAATCAGAATTGGCAAGTCAAGCTTTTTAAAATTGACCAGAAAACTGCAATCGGTGCAATTTTTGTGTTTCTGGCTTTCCAAAGCCTGTCTATTGTTTGTGCACAATCATAACAAACTGTTATTGCTCCTTTAGCCTGGTGTGTTCAGAGTGAGACGAGCAGACAGGCTGCAGAGGATGCATGTGTATCTGGGTCATGTGACCCAGCTGCCCTCATCTATAAACCAAGCTTTAGGTGAAGCACACGGAGTTTAAACACTAATGAAATCTTAAAAATGCGTTTTCTGAAAAAGAGAACATCCTTTTCAGTAAGTTCTCAAAATATGAAACTGAATCACAATAAAATATGAGAATGTCAACAATGTTTTGGTGACATTAGCAAGTCACCAAAACAAAGTAAATATTTTGATGCTAGGTTGTTCAAACATGAGGAAACAAAGGGGATTTTTCATGGAACAAAAAGGCTCATCACATCTTTGAAGTATGTGTGTGACCTTATTGCCCCCATTTTTGAATAATATGTTTGATCAAAGGTCTGCTATTCTCAGCTTTCAGGATGCGACACTTTACTTTCATTTGATTGTCAGAGATTTTCCACACTGATAAATTTCCTCTAGGAAAGAGATTTCAAAGGATTTTGAATGCCAGAGTGTTCAGATAAAACATAAAGTGGAAAATATTTTGAGCATACTAAATTGCATTGTGCCTTTAGGTTGTTTCTGTAATAGTTATTCTCATCTTACCATGATTGGATCTGATCCAGTGCAGAATTGGCTTGATTTTTGTCATAACAACCAGAGCAATTCCAGCACACAGAAGAGCGATTATCACCAGGAACCACTGAGTATCTGCAAAAACATAAAAAAATATATATATTTTCAAAGAATTTACATCTACAGCAAGTAAAGGAGAAGTTGGATAATTCCTATTTCATATTACTGTCAGCTCACCGTACCTCTGATTTTGTTATTTGGTGGTACAGTTATCTTGGTTGTGGAGGTGGATCCAGCTACTAGAAGAGAAAGGAAGAGAAGGAAAAAACAACTGATCAGTTCAGTGCAGATGTTTAGAGGAAATACGAGAGTTTCGTATTTCAGAAGTCTCACACAAACTCTGTGTGAGACTTCCCTCAATAGTTACTACAGGGTAAGCAAACAATTGTTTTGAAGCACAAGCATGCAGTGAAAGTATATGCAAAAAAAGAGAAACTTGTTTTTGAATTATTTTATTCAACAGGCCAAAGTTTCACACAGTTTTAAAGCTATTGTACATCACCATTTGACAAACCAGAGTTAAGAGAAAACTAAACTAAATCTACATTTGTATCTAAATAAAACAATTGTAGGCCAACAAACATTAAATCTTTTAGATCTTCAACACAAACTCCTATAAAGGTTAAGTGTTGTCCCTGAATCTCGAAGAGCTTTTATGCTCTAATTGTTGTCTGAAATGCTGCTGTTACACGCCAAAGTTTCTCATATAAATTATACAACTTTGCTCATTTTCAAGTTCAAAGAGTCTCGAAAGAATCCACGGTTTCTCGTAGATTCAAATACTGTGTTCAAACCAATAATTTGTATTCAAAAATGATCACGTTTGAATTTTTCATGGTGAAAACCGTCCCAGTCACCATCAATCACATAATGCATTTTCCCTCTGATAGGCTGATCTGTTCATGGTGATTTTTCCTCTCCCCAGAACCTCATTGCTGCCAGTAACTTCAGTTTCCCTATGTGACCCAACAAGTCTAAGCCAGATGAAGACTAGAGCAGATTGGTTGTTTTTGTCATGATCTGTGGGTTTTGGTGAGGTGAGGGAAGACACAGGCAGGCCAGGATGAAGTGAAGATGATGATTTAATGACAATAATCCACAGGACAGAACAACGGGGAGCACAACAAACACGCGGCACGGGGAAACTGGCTGGTACAGGAGGATCCGACAAGAGACAAAGACAACAGGTGGGACTAAATACACTGGGAGGGTAATCAAAGAAACGAGACACAGCTGGGATCAATCAACAGTGAAGACAGAGACCCACAGGGGAACAGGCTAATAAACACAGAAAATCCTCAAAATAAATACACAGATCACAAAAGTTTTTCTATTTTCATCAAATTGGATGAAAAGCTCTTGAAAGGTTTTTTATTTTTGTATTCATCCATGAATTCACATGGTACCTTTCTCTAAGCATGTCACCCAGTTATGAATTCAAAGTGAGGACCTAGATAACAAAATATGAGTTGGTAAATGTTGAAATAGGCTGAAGCTGAAATACTGAGTCCATATTGAAGCCTCACATTTAAATTAGACAAAAAGTGATCGGTGACTGACGTGTTGAATCAAAGTTAGATTTTCCACCATAACTGATAACTGTACATGCACATTTTAGTTTCTTTTATATTGAATAAAGTTAAGGAATCAATATTGATTCATGTACTTTTAAAGTATTAATCTTTTCTAAAGGAATTTACTATGTGGAGCCCACTGGAAGAGTTTCGTTTTTCACCAATGAGTTTCTGCTGACTACATCACAACATACCATAAAACGTTTATTCATTTACTACTGCTGTTAAACACAGACGATAGGTCGTTCAAAGCTATCTGGCATTACCATGTTTCCAAAAATGTGTGTACACAAATTTAAAAAATAACACGGCATTAATACTGTATTTTACTTAGGAAAACTCATAGATCTGAATCATGTTTGGCTCCTTTTTGACTGACGGAACAACAATGTCCACGAGGTTAAGCCTTGTGTTTGTATTAATCAGGAACACAGTTTGTGTTGGGATATCTTAAACTTTGACTCTAGTTCACGTCACTTCGATTCCTTGCGATGCCTCGATCTTCCTCTAGTACGTAACGAAGCCACTTCTCGACGTTTCGGTTAGCTTTGACTCAGACTGCCGAGCAGCAGCTGAAAAACACAAAAGTTAGAGTGAGGAAGGTTCCAGTTGGGGCCGGTTAGAAAGACAGTAAAAACATTTGAAAAGTTTTGAAACACATTTAAATAATAAATAATGCACTGGTCTGAGAACAAACACAGAAACCGAACGGTTCCACTTGTTAAATGAAAAAGGACATGGCAACGAATACTCATGAATATTTATCTTAATGTTAGTTGATATAATCACACATTTACAACATAAGCATAAAACAACGCACTTATTTTTCAATAAACATAGTAAAGAAAAAAATAATATTGAAAAACTTACTGCAAAAGTGCTCAGAGTAGAGTTAAATTCAGACGGACAGTCGGAGTAGTGACGGGTTAGTCGCGAACGTTTCGGCTCTTTCTTTCAAAGTGAACGACGGGAGCTGACTCCGCACTTTTTTTCCCTCCTTTCGTTGCTCAGCTCTCACTCTCAGTGGCTCTGCTCTGTTCACGGCAGAACTTCGTTTTGATTGGCATAGCAGCCTTGTGGTCAATCACTATTTGCTAAGGTATGTTATATAGGAGCAGATGATAATAAATTAGGAGCCATTTGGGAGCCGAGAGAGCCGGTGTTCTTCTTTGGGAGCCAAGAGCCGAAATTCCCATTACTAGTCAGAAGCAGGTTGCAAACAAGCCAGCAGTAAGGGTTATGTTTTTGGGACAAACACTCAGTAATAACATTTACAGGGAAGTAAGAAAATGTACAGAAATGTTGTAGTGTTTAATTTAAAACACGATAATAAAATGCTTTTACCCAGAGGGGAGAGCAACAGGTGTCACAAACAGCATTGATTAGACATTGCAATTTCAATCATTAGTATTCATCCACAAAACAACATTGATTCATTGACATGTTTTCAACATCAGTTAGTTTGGTTAATTGGGTGATTATTTGTTCGTCGACCTTAACCAAAAATCAGTTTTTTTTTACCATAATTCAACAATAATTGCTATCTAGGATCATTTATCCTTTTAATATTCCTCTCAGATTCCTGTAAAAACCAAGCCAATGTCTGGCTGCAAGCCCTTTACCTTTGACTTTTTGATAAATTTTAGATTTTAATCAGTTTAGTTTCTATTTTGATTGTTCAGTTCCCCAGTTATAAAGCTTTCCTTCAGTAGTAGTTGTGTAAGAGTAGATATAGTGTTCGTATTTGTTTGGGTGTTTCTTTATGCTGCTCAAATGATTTTGGTTTGACACATATTGAATGATTTTGTTTTTATTTAAGACTCTTTTCATCTTAACTGAAGTTTAATAATTTTAGTGCTAACAACACATAATTAGCCAAATACCTCTAAATTCTTCATGAATATAGCTCATCTGACATGAATCAATTCATCATTCATTCTGATTTTTGATACTTAATTATACTTATCTATGAGTCGAAATGCAACTTGATGGGTTCTGCCCCGAAATGTTGATTTCCATATAAATCTCTGGAAAAAATCTGACTCTGCTGCACTGAACCCCACTGAAAACCTCCTGGTTATTCCAACAGATATTGATTTCTGGACTCTTCCTGAGTTAAAACATCAGTACTGTTGTTTCTAAACGAATATCAACTTGTTTTCTTTCCATTATTTGAGGTCTGAAAGCACTTCATCTTTTTCGTTATTTTTACCATTTCTCATTTTCTGCTAATAAGTACTAATTTTTTTCTGGGAATTTCGGAGACATGTTGTTAGCAGTTCATAGAATAAAAGAACAATGTTCATTTTACTCAAACATTCACCTATAAAAAGTAAAATCAGAGAAGCTGATCATTTTGCAGTCGTCTCTTACTTTTTTCCAGAGCTGTAGATATTAAAAGAAAACAGCAACCACACAATAAGCGAGTATTCTGGCTTAATAAATCCTTTTTTCAATCAATGGATATTAAATATTTAAGCTTAGGTGCTGCAAGGGTTAGAGAGATTAGGTGAGATTGCACAGACACCACATTTCCTGCCATGCCAGACTTATTTTCGTGCCACAGATGTGGAAACAGAAACTGCTAGTAGTAAGACATAGGAAACTTATCAACACATTGGGGTTAGAGTAGTTTCCTATATGATAAGAAGAAATTATTTGATAAACTTGCAGCTTTGTGTGCAAAAGTACAGAAAGCTGCCTAAAGTCTGTAGAGTAAAGTTTTAGTGTCTAACTCAGTTGAATGTGCAGGGAAGTTTTATTTTACCTGTAGTGGACGGCGGAGTCGTGGGCTGGGTGGTTGTTGGGACAGGCTCGCAAAACGTGCAGGACTTGTCTTTGCATCTGTAGCCGGCTCTGCACTTGCAAACAGTGTTTTTGGTTGTTGTGCAGTTGGACGCAACCTCAAAATTAGCTGCCAAAGACAAAAGAAAGAGTCATGTTTGAATATATGTCACTTAAAAGAGACTATTTAGATTTAGTGACTTAACGGGAATGTACTGCAAGGGAGTGACTTTGTACTTTATGTATAGGATGGTCCAAAATGACTCACAAATTTTAGTTTCACGTTATCAGACAGTTTTATTGTCACATCTTTAGAAGAATTCATGGCTGGTATTTCTTAGTGAAAGCAACGTTTCAATTTGATGAAACATTTTCTTTCTTACAAAGAAGCCACAGCTTGTGTGATCAAAATGAGCAAACAGAAAGCTGCTTAAATTACTGCCACAGAGCTAGAGTCATAACAAGATATGAATGTTTATGTGACATTTTCAGTTACAATTTATGAAAAACAAAGAGGAGTAAGGAGATCTTGATGATACCCTCATTCATAAATCAATCCCTTTATTGCACAAATGTTTAATATTAAAGAGCAAAACTTCCACCTGGAAGGTTTTCTGATTTCACTTTAAACATTTAACAGTGAAATCACTTTCAAAGCCTGGTTTAAGAAATATTTGTGATTTAAACTTATTAGGTGCTTGTCAAAGAACAAAACATTTCAGTATATTGCTTGATCTTCTGAAATATTGGCTCCATAATTGATACATTTAACTTTTCAAGTCAGACATCTATAACAATCTCATGTAAGGGGTAAATGTGTATGAGGAGGAAGAGTACAGCTGTCCTGCAATGCAGCTTCATCTTAGCAGGTTGTAGCAGCAGGTGTATGAAGGTTTACTAGTGTAACTGGGTGATCATGGTGTTAGCGTAGCGTGGCTTTGAGTGTTATGTGTATGAAAATAGAAGCATTGTAAACGTTAAGTCCACTTTAAAAACATGAACAGTTGTGTTTTAAAATGCTTTCCACATTATTTATCTTACTGCTTTTACACAAAGTGCTAACTTTGATTAAAATGTAAAGGTCTCAGATAAATGAGTTGAGGTTTTTTTTTTGTCATTAAAGGGTTAAAAGGTTTTATAAAACCGTCAAGAAGCTGATCTTTGGACTTTTTTTTCTTCTTCTTCTTTTGCTCTGCAAACCGTTAATGCCGTTAAAGATCCAAAGCACAACAGAAACAGTCGTGCTGCAAGGTCAGCAAGTTAAATCATTCTGTGGGTTGAATCATTTCCACCTAAATTAGTTTCCATTCACATTAATTGACATGGAGCCCCTGTGTGTGTGTAGTTTTTTGACATTTTCACCACCCACCTTCCACTTGCTAGATTCTAAAACAGATAAATGAGCTTTTAAAAAGTTGTCACGAAAAATATATTTCACATAGATTCTCCTGAAGGAAGAAAAAAAAAATTACTTGCAATATCAGAAAATGAAAGCCTCCAAATGTAAACAAAACTATTTCAGACTGAGAACAGAGAATATGTTTTCACTTTGGTGCCGACTCTCTTTTGTGTTTTCCACTGTGACATTTAGAAATAAGGCAGACAGGTTATTTTTGTTCACCTGTAGCAGCGGAGAGACATTTGCATCGGTATATTTTTCCACTTGCTACTTTGGTGTAATTTATGTGTTTTTTTGTTTTTTTTTTACTTTTCACTTACATAAAAACGGTTTGCTTCTAGGAGGGCTGCAAACATGACTCTCTCTCCTAGCCTTCATTACAGATGGTTTCACAGACCCCCCGTGTCTCTCCTCCGTTTCATCTCTATCTGACTGTCTGCCCCCCTTGATGCATAAACAGGGAAATCCCCTCAGATATAACAGTTTATTTCTGCTGGTAAGCTTCTCTGAAATCATGATCCACCGCCAGAACTGAGTAACATTCAACTCTCTGACTTTCTACAGGTCTTTTACGATGAAACTGGTCAAATGTTGCGGTAAGAGCAGCAGATTACTCACTCTCACACATCACGCATTGATCGCAGAGTCAGAGTTCACACAGAGAAACCTGAACCACAAGGTTGTACAAAGAAGAACAGACAGTGGAGTGTGTAAAGCTGTGAGTATCTTTACAGTAATGCTTGATCATGCATATGTTCAAAACAAAACCAGTCTATATCTACTCTGATCGTCTGGAGATAGTGCTGTAGTCAAAGCGGATCCTGCTGATGTCAGAGCTTACTAACCAGTTTTACGTTTTTACTGGTGACACATCATTTATCAAAAAAAAAGTAATTTCATGATACATGGACATCAATAGCTCAGATTAAAATACTGCAAGTCTTCCCATCCAGACAGGACGTTTACTGTAATGCTTCTTACCTTTTTTGCAAACATCACAGACGTTGCAGTTCCTTTCCAGGTTGAAGTTGTCACTGTACCGATTTTCATCGCAGGGCTCACATGTAATTTCACAAGTTTTGTCTGAGCGACTAATGTAACGATGACCTGGAGCAAGTACAGAGCAGTCTGTGGTTAATGACATTGACAATAGACACTTTAAAATCCATAAATATAAAAGCAATGTCACACTACCTGGCGGGCACTTTTTACAACATAACGTGGGTTCGAGTATCGGCCACTCATATTCCCCGTCTTTGCACTGGATGACTAGCCCAGAGGAGAAGACAGGAAGACTCCACAGCAAGGAGAACGCAAGATAATAGAGATGCACCATCTGGATAGTAGCAAATAAAGAATAAGAGGTGGAGAAGGCAGAGTGTTGGTTGTGTCAGATATGAGCAGATGCTCACAAGCTACTACAGAAAGGTTGTGAGAAAAATAAGATGACTTTTATTGGTTGGTCTCCTCTATTTAGAAACAATTACGATTTAAAAGCTGATTTTGTAAAACCTCTGAATGGTTTCTTTCTTGTTTATCAATCCAGTTAAAAAGTTAGTACATCATGAAGAAGATGAAGATATGTTGCCTGTACTCACCATGCCAGAGAAGCTGAAGAAGATGTTACCTGGGACCCTCTGACTGCAAGACTGAGAAAGTAACTAAAGTGTGTCAGGGGACTCTTCTCTTAAAATGTCACAAGTGACTCATCATGAAATCTGTCTATTCAGTCTGTTTTCTTTTGCTCTCATCCTCTAACTGCCACTCCTCCTTGGACCCTCAACATCTGTGCACAACAACATGCCCCCCCTCTCCCCACCCGAGAACAGCCTCCACGTTTTTCCATCTTCAGTCTCGTTTCGTCCAAATGTGAACTTTTGGCTGAGAACAGTCTGACACTTTCCCCTTTTTTGTTGCTTTGCTTTTTTCTTTTTGTGCTTCCTTGTCATGGCGCTTGGTGATGAGTGTAAGTGATTGTGTACTACTCATCTAACCATTTGATTATACTTACAAAGAAGTGAAAGAAAGATAAACATTCAGAGAAGTGACTGGTGATTAGTTCTGCAACTTCATGAACACTTCAGTTGATACTAAGTTAAGGTATCTTAGTCACTTTTAATTCATAGAGTGAGTAAAGTTAGTATTGAACATGTTAGTGTTTTCTTAATAATTAAAAAGTGCATCATCAAGGTTCTGGTAATCCCAAATAAGTAATACCAAACAAGTAAAGAATACACCCAAAAAAAGCATAAAAAGCCAAGATGACATCTATCATTGCATAGAAAACTATCTTGTGGCCTGTTCTTAAAATTAGCATAAACTGGTTTAGTTTTAATTATTTACCGACAAAAAAAGGTTTCTGATCATCGACGTATTGCAGAAGAAGTATTGCGTAATGGTTAAAAGAGCTTGACGATCTCTTAAAAGCTTCATAACCTCATTGTTGCAAAACTACTATCAGCAACAAGGCACTTTGAACTGTCTTGTTGCTGAAAATGTGTTATATAAATAAAATTACCTTATCTTACCAGTTAGCAGAGGCGCCGCTAGAAATCTTGGGCCCCCTGACAAAAAATTTGATTGGGCCCCCCTGTGCAGCTGCTGTTACAATTTTTTTAGTCTATTTGACCCATAAAAAGCATCACAATTTTAAAGGCTTGCATCTGCCTTGCTTTCTTTGGTTCAATATTGATAATTAGCATAATATTTACTGCTCATGAATTTAACATCCAACAGTCCACATCCAGTATGCAAGTAGGTTGCTTAAATGTTTTCAATTAGTTTTAGATACTGAAATGTCTCTCCCCAAGAGCAACAGTCAAAAACAATGTGCAAAATATACATGAAGCAATCCAGACTTCTCAAAAATGCTATGTAGTTGCATTTTATTCAAGTTACAGTACATAACTTTAATAAAAAATGTTTTCTCCATATTTGTTAAAGTTGTCACCATGTCGTAGCAGTTTGTTATGAGACAGATAATCTGTGAAAACAATCAATCTCCTCCATCTGCTTCCTGAATTATTATTACTGGTTAAAGTAATGCACCGTTCTGACCAAAACAACCAATGAGAACTAGTAGGACGCTCTTAGCGCTGTCAATTAGCCTCATTCACGTGCTGCTAAATGTGCTAATGGTGGAGAAACAACTTATCATTGCAAGAAACCATTTATCTGCCGTCATTGGTAGCTATGCTAACTAAACTGAGCATTCACAGTTTTGTGCTATGCTAGCTGCAGCACAGCACAAATCGAGAGGAAGGATGAGCAGCACCACATGAGATTGTGATTGACAGCACTAAAACTCTCCTGCCACTGACTGGTTGTTTCTAGCACTGGGAGAAAGCAGAGGAAATAGATTTTTCACAGATTACCTCTCATACCATACCGTCACAACATAATGACAGTTTTAAAAAATATGTGAAAAAAATATTTATATAAAAAGTGACAAACTGCAGCTTTAATTTCACTCAGGAGAGGACGGGTCAGGAGGGATGTGGGTTAGAGCTGCTGCTGACTGACTCGTCTGTTGGTAAGTGGTAAAAGGTACAGGGAACAAGTTAAATATATGAATATGTTGGTAATTGTTTTCCTTAATTCATTAAATGCTAGTGAAAAGGAGGCAAACAGTAGTTTGTAGCTAAGCTAATTATGCTAAATGGTTGATAATCTCACACAGTCTACCCACCTCTCTTGGAAAAAAAACTGGGTTATAAATTAACACTCTTGCCTTTTTCTCTCTCTCCCTCTATTTTGTTTTTGAAAACCTGATTTTATAACTTTTCTTAGCAGCATAGTAACTGCCACAGTCGTTCGTGTCTTCCACTTTCTGCAGCTCAACAGCGTCACGGTGAAGCTCCAACAGGAACAAACCATTTAACGCAGATGGGGGGTTCAGGGCAAATATGGACATGAGTTTTCTGGTCTGGGAGTGGGAACATTCAATTTTTACTGCTAAAAACAATCTTCTGAAATTCAATATGATTAATTTTGTAATTGACAGGACCCTGATTTTTTTTATTTGTATTTCTATGAACAAAAAATAATTAAATTGTGGAGGGCCCCCAGTTGGTCAGGGCCCCTAGAATTGTCATCACTTTCCCCCCCTATGCCTCGCCCCTGATCACAACACATTGCTTTGAGATTCACATACAAATATACATACTCTGACCAGAAAAACCTGGGGATGTTTTGCTTTCACGTGAAATTTCAGAATGAACCAAGAATCCAATTTAACCTTTTAGGGTGAACTTAATGTGACTTTCTTCTCTAAACCTCTGAATGCACATGTCCAACTGTTTACATCCTGACATCATGAGACCAAAGATGCATCCACACCAGCCCCATATCTTCTGCCTTAATCAAACTCCTG